GCACCATTCCACCCGTCCACATCATTTGGACGAGATACATTTTCCTTCAATTTGTGAAGATTGTCTCACAGCCTAGGCCTCTTGGAACATCAAATATCTCCATAAATTACAATATGGTATTAGAAAATTTCTGAAATTTGACAATTTTGAATTTGATAAGAAAAGAACACTAAGTTCTACATAACCTATACCACATTCTCAAAATAAATAAAGCTTTATCTCAAAACTCACCGAAGATTATAGTTCTGGCGTCAAAGAACATTCAAATAGATCATCTCTCCTTTGACCATTATGGTTGTGAAAAAAATTACGATTTCAAATCCTAAAAATAGTAGATATTATACATTATCTAGACCGTCCATTTTGCCCAAAAAATAAGTATTTATGGATCCACAAGATCTATACCACTTTTTTAGCTACAAATTTTATCATCAATGGTGAAAATTGATTTTAGAGCCATAATAGAGATTTCCAAAGTATTTTTCAAACGAGGTTTTGAGGTGAGGCTTTACTTTTTTCATTAGGCTTAGGCCTTATAGAAACTACATCCTTAATATCTTCAAGTACATTTTAAAGCTCCACACCTCATAATCAGGGGGGAAAAGTGTAATTTATCAAAATGTACATAACATACAACTATTTAACAACCTGTCTTGCTATTTATATTCGGACATTTGTAAGACTTTTATAAAAAATAAATAAAAATAAGACTTATAGCAATAAAAATATGTTATTCCAATGACTTATCATGTTGAAACCAAAATCTAATAATGTTAGAAGTCATGTGATTCCATGTAAGTGCCAAAGGCATGCAAAATAAGTAGGAAATGGTATGATGATACCTTTAGAATGACACAAGTTATTATTAATCTTTTTGGAATGGTGATGATGTTATTATTAGAAAATCTTTTTGAAATGGTGTTATGATGACTTTCATTCTGCATTTCAGTGGAATTTTGTGACAAAAAAGAAAGAAATGATAGTTTATAGGCAAGTGCTGGTAAAATGTTGGTAATGCATTTCTCATATTTCTTCCGAACATAGCCAAACAGTAGCAATGTATTTCTCAAGTTACATATAAATACTGCCCAAACAATAACAATTTATTTGCATGTAATATATTAATATATTACACAGTAATATATTTCACAGACAGAATATTTCCAGGTATCCAAATGGCCCCTAAATGTTGAATGGTTTGGTAATTGTCTTTTTTTTCAAAGGCGGGGGGAGGTAGTAATGGAGGATTGGGTTTCGGGGGTAAGATATCTAATATTTGGATCTTAAAACCTCAGCTAAATCAAAGTAATTTCAACCAATTTCCGTTGGGCTTTGCTAATGGGCTGAATTACCAGTACTTTAGAAAAAAATTTTAAATTTTTTGGTTGAGATTTAAACCGAGAACAACGAAGAATCGGAGATTAGGGTTTGGGTGGTTGGAAAATGTGGAATTTTGATCTTAAAAGTACAAGCATATGTTTATTGTTTTGGTTTCGTTTCTTCTTCTTCTTTTTTTCTTTTTTTTTCATGGGGGGTGATTGTTCTTTTTTTATCCTCAACTAATCCAACTAACCCCAAAAGAAATCTAGGTCAAATGGCAGGGAGGAATGGGTGAATGTGGTTTTCAAGTGCTAAAATGTTCGTCTAGGAGTACTGAAATTTTGCCCTTCTTTGCAACGCGAAAGAAGGAATGTTCAATGCTAGACCACTTGCCAAATAAATAAAGGAAAAGTTTATAAAGAGGCAAGGCTCTAAACGATCAAATCAAAGGCACTTCAAAAATTTCACTAGAAGATGTTGTTTTGATGTCTAAATACATCAAATTGAGCATCTTGGCATCAAGATGCATAGACATGAAAAAAAAATGGATTTCAAGTATCGAAAATAGTACATCTTGTAACGCATTTTTGGATCGTCAATTTTCAAGGTATTTAAGTTTTCATAGATCTGCTCGATCTACATTATTTTTAAAGCTTTAAGTTTTATAATTAGATATAAAAATATATTTTAAGGCTATCACAAAGATTTCCAGTATTAAAATCACATTGCTCGTCATTGTTTGAAGATAAGCTCTACCTTGATTGTTTAGAGCCGCGACTCTATACAAACCGCACCTATATATAAATTGTGTAAAGTTGCGGTATTTCCCTCCTATCCGGTGTTGCGCTCAATGTAATGTTCGCAGAAAATATTCCCACACAGTAATAAAGGGCTGGAAAAAGTGTCTGTTTGTAATTTTCTCCCAATTTAATTTCAAAGTAGCCATCACAATCTACATGACCATGAGTTTGAACAGTTGATTTAATTTCAAAGTAGCCATCAAAATCTACATGACCATGCATTGAAATAATTGAAAAAGGATAAACTCTCATATTGTTAAAAAGTTAAGTATATCTTGATAAATTTGCTTAAACGTTTAAACATATCTTGATAAATTTATTTAAACTTTTAAACACTAAAGAGGTTTATATGTAATTGTTCATGTCTGGCTCACATGAAGCAATGTACAAAACTCCATAAATATTATTGCTATAATAAAATATAAATGTCATAGGTACCATAGTACACATCAATCTATGCATCATTGATGGCAATGGGAAACATTGATATATGCATCATACCATGTCAGCCATAACATATATAATACAATATAATATCAACTACTATTATAATATGGGTAAATTTTATAGAGAGCATAGGCTCTAAACAATCAAATTAGAGCCTACCTTAAAACTTTCATTAGATGTTGTTTTGATGTCCAAAGATCATCAAATTCATCATCTCGACATCACGATGCATGGACATGAGAAAATAATGGATTTCAAGTTTTGGAAATAGAACATCTTATAACGCGTTTTTAGACAGGCAATTTTCAAGATTTTCAAGTTTTCATACATATGTTTGATCTACACTATTTTTGAAGCTTTAAATTTTATAACTAAAGATGAAAATATAATTTAAGGATATCACATAAATTTTCAATATGGATACCATATTTCTCAACACTATTTGAAGGTCGACTCTAATTCAATTGTTTAGAGCTTCGACTTTATACAAACAACAACCTCATAATATTAACATATTATATTATCATAACCATAAGATTCACTAACCAAACCAGCCACTACTTCGGTGGCGCTTCCGTTTTGGAATCTCGCTCCGACGTTCTCGAGTCGGAATCTCACTCGAAACCCATTCCCATATATTTGGGATCTTGTTCTAATTGTGAGGATTCTCGATCCTATTAACAACGGAGCTCGCTCCCATTCACAACGGATTTGGATCCCATACACAACGGAGAAGAGTTGAACTAAAGGAGAGAGAGAATGTGAGCTGCCGATTGCAAATCAGAGTGAGAAATGTGCTCAACGCATGTCATGAGCAGCTGCCGTAACTGTTGGGCCGGTGGCGAGCCACATTGGCTTGGGAAGCCGATGCGGTGGTGGTCAGAGGGGTCTTCTTCTTCATGGGTCATTGGAGGAGGAGTCCAAAGAGCCAAGCATTTCACAGTAGCGTAATTGCACCTATTCTCCACGAGCTTGAGCCAGAGTGGTCGTGGTGGTAGAGGGAGAGTAATATATGAGGAAAGAGATGATGGAATGCAGTTTCTGTGACGGGACATGATCTGCCAGCACAGAGTAGTGTAGATATTGTTCATGAAACAAACTCTTTTTTCCTCTTTTTTTTTCTTGTTTTGGGATTGCAACTATAGAGGCAGAGAAATTACATTAGATAGAATTCTGATTGATTACAGATTGAGAGAGAGAAAACCAAAGGGCTAAGTAGAGAGAGAAACTGGTACTTGTGCAGTGAGAGAAAAAAAGGCGAGGTAAAGATCCTAATCCGCTGCTGAAAATGGGTATCAGAAGAGATCCAATCCCAAGTCCCTTCCTTATATTTGGAGGAGAATTCCCCTTTCTCTCTCAAACTTGGGTCGGTAATGGTGAAGAGAGAGAAAGAGAGTGTGTTCCCAAACACGCAAAGCCTTTAATGGGTGAACAGAGACTATTCACTCACCCCGTCCATCCCCTTCGTTTGTTTCTATCTATAGACCTAGTGAAGGGATGATGGGTTTCAGATAACTTCGTTGCAGAACCCTCTATCCGATCAACTTGCAGAACCCTCTATCCGATCAACCTCTCTCTTGCATTGAGGCCACGGAATTTCAGAGCACAACCAATCCAAAAATAATCATCCTTCTCCACCTTACCTCAACCTCTTTTCAATTTTGAGGATTCTCGATCCTATTAACGACGGTCTCTACTTCAAAGATATCACTCCCATTCACAACATATCCCGATCCCATTACAGCACAAATTTCTTGGTAAAGCAAGGATCTCAACACGGAACTTCTACCTTCATGGGAACTCACTCTCCGAGCTCTACAGCTTTGGGCAGCTATCGATCCGGTACTCTTGCTCCCAAAACCGGAGCTGCTCCCAAAACCGGAACCGCTCCCGCTCCCGAAGGTAGCTGATGCCTATTTTAACGACGTGCGGCCTACAAAGGTAGCTGACGCCGTATATGTATATTATAGATCGCTAATGAAAGAGGTCAACTTGGATATGAAAAGGGTCTTTCTTGTATTCCGTTTCTTATCTGCCCAAAAACTCTTTATTTTTGCAAACAATCAAATTAGAGAGGAAAAGTACAATTTGGTGACCCGAATCACCCCTCGAGAGAATTGTTTCAGATCAAATCGTTGGATTGGCGATCTCAGCCTGATGAACCAACTAATCAAATTTTTTTAAAAAAAAATAGAAAACAAAAAAATTTTAAATATTAAAAAATAAAGTAAAATCAAACAATATTAAAAAATAATATAGAACCGGCAGTTTCCGATAGAAAAACACCAAGACCGATCAATTTCCTTAAGAGACATACAATTATCGATATTTAGGCATAATTAGATTTGGCTCAACATTTTCCAAACCAAACTAGCCAGCTTGGTGCCATTTCAATTTCCTATCCAAACCAGTAGGTTCGATCCGGTTTTTAAGAGATTGTTTCCTATCCTCCCATTTTAAACTCAGCGCATGGTGCGTGGGTTCGGTGCCCCGATTTACGTCAACGTCTTAGCACATGGTAGGTGGGTTCGGTACCCGGATTTATGTCAACGTCTTTGAAATGACTGGCTTTAATTGCATAAATGTCCAAACCTGCTCCGGCGGTTCCGCGTGCTCACTGTAATTCTACTCCTCCTCGTGGATTTTTTTTTTCCGCAACAAATTAATTACCGATGGATAGAAGAGGAGAAACGAAAATTGTTATGCCACTCCACTCTTCTCTTTTAAAAAGAGGGGAAATAGGAGCAAAAACATCAAGAAGAATCGATGGAGGAGGTCGAAAAGCTGAGAGATACTTTTCGAAGGGGTACAACCCGCAGTGCGAAATGGCGGAAGGGCCAATTGACATCTCTACTCAAACTTCTAACTCAAAACGAGATCGAGATTTGCAAGGCTCTCCAACAGGACCTCGGCAAGCATCACATCGAGGCCTACAGAGACGAGGTGTGAATCTCAACCCTTTCTTTGTGTGGTTATGCAGACGGTAAAGAGTGCGTTTTGCAGGTGGGGCTGCTCGTCAAATCCATAAAACACGCATTGAAGAACCTGAACCAGTGGATGGCTCCTGTAAAGGTCTGAGCATCCGAAACCAATACTGGCTCCCCTCCAAATCTCAGTAAGATTGTGTAGTAAGAGAGTTGTTGGTTTGTTTGGCAGGCAGGGGTACCCCTCGTAGCTTTCCCCACCTCCGCTGCGTTGGTCCCTGAACCTCTCGGCAACGTTCTGATATTCTCATCCTGGAACTATCCATTTGGTATGTGAGATAGCAAATCAGTTTCTCTGGTTAATCTTTGATGCCGACGAACTTCTAATTTATGTATGTTATCTATGGTATGGTATCATCATCATCGTAGTTTTATCTCAATTATTTGTGTACGGTATGAAATAGATTAAATTGTGGTTAAAAATAAAAGTTGTTGTATGAGCGGTGCTCCCGCGGATCAATTTTGTTTTTGTCAAAATGTTTCGAAATTACAACTCTATTGACATTTTGTATACTTGGAAATTCTCGAATTGAAACAACCTAACACGAAAAAAGAGAAGAGCTTAGATGGTGGTTACTTGAACATGCAAGGGGGTGATGGGTGGTTGCAGGGCTATCACTGGAGCCACTGGTGGGAGCATTGGCCGCAGGGAACACGGCTGTTGTGAAACCGTCGGAGACGTCCCCTGCATCGTCATCGCTGTTGGCGAAGCTTATCCCAATGTATCTCGACAACAAGGCCATAATCGTGGTTGAAGGAGGGGTTGTTGTGTGCGAGCAACTACTCCAAAGGAAGTGGGATCTGATCTTCTTCACAGGTCAGTGAACGGCCATCCCTTTCACACTGATCTATCTGTTCTGTTTTTCTATTGGAATCCATTGGTCCTTCATAATTTGCAGGGAATCCGAAAATCGGACGGCTGGTAATGACCGCAGCTGCAAAGCATCTCACCCCCGTAGTGCTTGAATTGGGTGGGAAAAGCCCTGCCGTTGTAGATACCCTCTCTAGCTACAGGGATAGAAAGGTCACTCCAATTTCATGGCTTCTTTTTCGCAATGTTTGATTACTCGGGCGTGCTCAGACTCGCCCAAGTATCCCCACTTGGATGTCTAACTAGGGGATCTTAAACAAAATTCAAAACTAAGTAAACAATTTAAGAAAATGAGAAATTGTATTAGTAATATGTTTTTGATGTTTTCTATCATTTTTGGCATAGATTGAAAAGTATTTTGGGGATGAATACTTATTTATATATTTTCTCTTCTTTTTGGATTGTTTTTAAAATACCCCAAATCACAAATTGATGTTTTCAAAATCTATTTTTGCGCCATCTTTTGAACCTCGTTTAATTGTGTTTTGTTTATTTTCACTTTAAAAATATTTTCATATTTTTGTTGTTGTTTTAGTATTTTTTTATTTTTGAACACTTTTTGGCCTTGGCTGGAACTCGGGCTCAACTCAGGCCAAGTTGCTCGGACTTGGGGCAGCATAATTGGTTCGGGCGGGCCTGGGCTGCCGGGGCCCGAGTCGCTTTTTTCAACAGTGTTGTTTTTTCTGATGGCATGCAGGCTCAAACACTTACTCTAAATTTGACTGTGAACTTAAATTCTATTGTAAAAGGTGGCCTCAGCGAGGATGGTCTCTGCGAAATGGGGAAGTTGTAATGGACAAGCATGCGCAGCAGTTGATTATGTTTTGATAGATGAGAAATTCGCCTCTACGTGGGTAATATACTCAGGACTCTTTTTTATGTCTGAGGAATTCGTTTTTTCTTTTCTTTTTTTTTTGTCTTTTTCTTTTAACTTCGACCTGCATAACCATTTTAGGGCTGACAATAGATCAACACCTCAGCCCAACCTCATCAATCAGGCCCTAAAAAAACTAGAGCTTAAGCTACAAAATGTAGCTCAAGGGGCAGGGCCGGGTCAGGGCCGACCCCTAGTAGCTAGCAAGAGTAAAACTCTAGACATTTGCGTTCTGGTACATGCCATTTTGACCACCTCTACCCAGAATCAGAGTCTTCTGTTTATGTTTGCAGATTGTTACATTGAAGAGCACACTAAAAACCTTCTATGGGGATGACCCGAAACAATCAAACGCGATCTCACGGATCGTGAACAAGCATCACTACCTCAGACTCAAGAGTCTCCTAGCAGACCCTAGAGTGTCCAATTCGGTCGTTCATGGAGGTGGAGTGGACGATGACAACATGTAAACTCTCTTTCTCTATCGCTCACTCATCTTTCTGTCTCTCCATGTTTTCCTTCCGTTAAAGAGTGAGGTTGGCTGGAGGAATTAGGCTTGGGTTTGATTGATTAGTAGCAATTATAGACTTCGGTTTGATTGATTAGTAGCAATTGTATCTTAAGCCGTGTAGGAAAAATCAAGTGGTTCAAACCGAAATCGTCCGGTTGGATTGAAACCGATTTCGATCGTTTTGATAAACCGGGTTGGTATTTTAAAAAAAAAGAGAAAAACTTATATAAAATCTCAAAAAAAAATAGGGGATTTTTTTTTGTAAAGTATTTTTTAATGTTTTTTTATCATTTTGAGAAAGATTGGAAATTGTTTCGGTCATTAATATTTATTTTTATATTTTTTCTATCATTTTTAAAAAATTTCAAAAATACCCATAGCACAAATCGATTCTAAAATCCATCTTTTTCCATTAATTTTTAATTTCATTTGGATAGGTTGTCTCCAACCATGTTTTAAATATATCTTTTATATTTTATTAAATTTTTTTATTTTTTTTAACACTTTTTGATCGCTGAAGGCTTATGCCGCACCGAATAAACTCTTCCTGCGATTTTTTCAAGTTTGATTCCTGCCACCCAACTATTAAACAAAAAAAAAAAATGAGATATTGGCATTGGGGTAAAATCAATTTTATTTTTGTTGCGTTAGGTACATAGAGCCGACCATACTATTGGACCCCCCTCTGGACTCGGAAATAATGACTGAAGAAATATTCGGTCCCTTACTTCCCATCATCACAGTAAGTGCTTATTATTATGCATTTAATGGAAATCTTAGTTGCAACTGCACATAAATGGTCAGTTGCAACGGCACATGAATGAGGCGGGTTGTTGTGGACAGTTGAAAAGGATAGAGGAGAGCATCGAGTTCATAAATTCGAGGCCCAAGCCACTGTGCCTCTACGTTTTCACCTCGCGCTCCGCGCTTGCCGACAAAATCGTAGTGGAGACGTCCTCGGGCAGCGTGACCGTCAATGACGCCACTGTTCAGGTTTGTGGTTATTCCTTTTTGGTTTGTGTTGAACCAATAAAATAAAATCGGAAGACATGAGGTCGGAAGCAGTTACTCCATATTAATTGGTAATCTAGCTGCTTCAACCTGTTTAACCGGATAAATTCGAGAGAGTCAAAAAAAAATGTTAGATGAAATAAAAAATATAAAAGTATATTTAAAATATGATTAAACAAAGCACATCCATACGAAGCTGTTGAAAATTAATGAAAAATATGGATTTTAAAGATAGATTTGTGTCTAAAGGTATTTTTGAAAAAAAAATTTAAAAATAGAAAAATGTAAAAATAAATATTAATAATAGTTAAAAAAAATTTCAATCTTTGCCGAAAATATTAAAAAAAATGTTACAAAAAGATCCCTTATTTTTGGGATTTTATATAATTTTTTAATTTATGTTTAAAATACCTGGCCTTGTTCACCAAAACCGGTCGAAACCAGAGCTGACCAATGTCATTGGATGGTTCCAATCTAATTGGGTGATTAGAATTTGAACTGCCCGATTTTTCCTACACTATGCTAGATTTCTTATAAAAACACTCTCGGCAGTTTTATTTTCATATTAATTCATGAGTTTAATAGGGAAAATACGATCATTTGAAGAAAGATGAAGGTTCCTTAGGACCTTTATGAAAATATAGTAAAGCCTTGTCTCAAATCTTTATCCAAAAAACTCTTTAGGCTTATAAACCTTGATGATGACTCTAAAATCAATTTTGAACCCCAATTATGAAATTCGAAGCCCAAAAGGTGGTGTAGATCTTGGACACTTATTTTTAAGGTGAAGTAGGCAGTCTAAGATAATCTATTATAGTAGTCATTATTTTTATGGTTTGAAATCTTAAAAATTTTTTACAACCATAACAATCAAGGTCCAGATGATTGATTCGAAAGTTTTTCGATGCCGAAAGTGTAATTTCTGGTGAGTTTTGAGGTAAAGCTTTACTTATTTTGATAGCGTTGTGGCCCTATCAAAACATTTTCCTTTGAGAAGGTTCTAAAAAAGCTTCAATGAAATGGCTAAATAAAGTTTACGAATAAATTATTTTCAAGATTTGACATTTTCTTCATTTCTGATTTTATGATCGTGGGGACCAAACTTATCAATAAGTTAAATTCTGTATCCAATTGCATCCTAGGTAATGGTTTTTGGAAGGTGCATGCATTTGAGTTGGTGTGCCAGCTTTAAATTTTAAAATCACTAGACAAGGCAGTATATTGAGGATCTAGAGAATTTATTGCTGGCTTGATAATCACCATGCTACTACTTGATGGATAGTGATGCGAGGTAGGTCCAATCTCTGTGCACTAGGCAAAGCTACAGTCCCACGTACCGCAACGTAGGTCATACATAGCATCATCACCCTCGATCAAGAAATTAAACCAAGAGTGAGATCCATCATGTTTTGGGCCTATTATGTTGGCGCAATGTTCCATTAATTTGACGAAGATGATCCAATGGACTGCTGGTTTTTTCAACTAATCCATGGAATTAAAGGCTTTTCTCCTCAATTGCATAGAAGTTATCAATGGATAAGTTCTAGGGTGAGATGATGATGTTAATTTCTTTTATATAGTTTTCACTATCACCTTATTTCCAAATCAGCGGCACTTTCCCTTATCCAAGAATAGTGTCAAAAGAATAATTACAAAGCACTCCTATTCTTAGTATTATTCGGATTCTCATAGGAATTAAAGTAAGATTCGAAAGTTTTATCTGGCAATAAAAATACTTCGAGTACCAGTCAAATTTCAATAGGAATTGGAACAGGTTTTAGAGTTTAGAGGCTATATCTGGGAATAAAAATATTCGAAATACCAATCAAATTCTCATAAGAATTGAACCAGGTTTTGAAGGTTATACAGAGTGAGTGTACCTCCAGGATCTGGAAGTACGAAAGGAGCTCGTTTTTTTTGACGTTCACCTTGTATCCGATACAATTTCGAGATGAACGAGTGATTTTATGTCGCAAACAAAGTCTCTAACGAACACACCCTAAAGATACAGCCAAATCAAAGTCTTCTTGAGTTTCTAAAGTTTCATGCTCGGTAACTCGCAAAATATGACAGCAAAAATATACTGATGTAACTCAAAATACTATAAAACTCCTTAGATTCTATCTATAAATTAATCTCCATGTTAATACTTCACCATCAGTACTAAAAACCACCGTGGTTTCCACCATGAGTTCACTGTCACTGTCAAGTCTTCTTGTGTTACGTGGATTTTCTATAAGCGTCACCCTTTATTTTTTTCGTCATACAGAGGCCTTTTAAATGGAATAGATATTATTTTAAAGGTGCAGTTGGCATACGGATGCCTCTCTCATACAGAGGCCTTTTAAATGGAATAGATATTATTTTAAAGGTGCAGTTGGCATACGGATGCCTCCGTAGCTATAGAGGTAAAGTGCGGTGAGTAAAGAGGGAAATATAGTAGGGCGCCGTGACAGAGATGCCAAGTTGTTTGGACACGTCAATTAAAGTGAAGAGATGCTAAGTTGCTTGGACATGTCAATTAAAGTGAAGGCAGAGACAGGTGACCTGAGCAAGACGCAAAGATGATACTTGGAACATTAATAGCTCATTAATAACGTTGGAAGATAAATTGAAAAAAAAAAAAAAGTTAAAAGCGGTGGTCCAAAGGTGTAAAAAAGGCAAAGTAGACCATCAAGACAAGGGAACAAGAAAAAAAAAAAATTTGAAATTCATAATTCAAAAATAAATTAACAGATGAGTCACCCCAAAAACATGACATTCCCCCAAGTGGTGCCTCCAGATGGCCTGACCGCATGACATTCCCCCAAGTGGTGCCTCCAAATAGCCTGACCACATGACTTTCCCCCAAGTGGTGGTGCCTCCAAATAGCCTGACCACATATACTAAAGAACATCCCAAGTATGAGATGTCATGACGTCCAAAGCTCCCGTATCTTAAGTTAACATAAGAAAAAAAAATTATCTACACCATGCACTTGCTTTTAAAGTTATTAAGTATAACTCAATAACCATGTTTTTATCACCGTACAGTACGCCGTTGATTCACTACCTTTCGGAGGGGTCGGACAGAGCGGTTTCGGCAGGTACCATGGCAAGTTCTCCTTTGATACCTTCAGCCACACCAAGCCCATCTTGTGCAGGGGCTTCATGTTCGAAGTCTACTCGCGGTACCCTCCATGGAATGGTTCCAAGCTCAACTTCATCAAGTCTGTCTATGCCTTCAATTACTGGAAACTCGTCCTCCACCTCCTCGGCTTCGGCAGCTCAGCCACCACTTGAACATCCTATCACCTTCCCCACCCACCCGGGTACACCACACCTATTTTATGTACCTTACTCTTCCGCTTGTTAACAATTCTTGAAGGTGCTCAAAGCTCAGCTCAGCTCAGCTGAACCTTCAGTTACATGGAGCATACTTCTTCAGTGTGTACCTTTACCTGGCAGGAGCTCATATTGCTCGTCGTGTAAAAGTTCGGTTTTATTGATTGTATTAATATTACTCTCATTGCCATACACCGGTAACCCTTGTTTTACAGCAAAGAGAAGCATAATAAGCTTATAAGGTACTTAGAATACTGGCTCTCGGATTTTGGAAAAGGCTCCCTATAAGGATTGTACATGTAGCTCTTAAACAAAAATGATTTCCAATTTCCGTTGTTGTATGGAATTAGGTAAATATTCGCTCTGGCCTTAAGTTTTCTTTGGACCTAGGAATTTTGGATATTTGAACTTAAAAAAATATGTGGATTTCTTGTAAGAGAGACTAATGCGATCTTGTCGAAGAATATATTTTTGCAACTTTTTCCTTTTTACCTATTTCTTTTCCTTTTGGCAAAGATCACTTACAAGTAGTATTATTATACTAATTCTTGCTTCACAAAAAATAAAACTAACAAATCCAACTTCTTAAAAACCTTGATGTCATTAAACAAATTTTCTTTAAACAAATAAAATATTCGAAATTCTTATGTTTAAGAATATAAAGACAATATAATTAGATATGACAAAAAACAAAAAGAGAGTGTCCGAGATTACTTCAACCAAGTTTATTACACTCGGCATCGAGTCACCACCATCCGATGGCATTGCATCAATGATCAACTTTCAATTTCAATCGAAAAGCAAGTTTAGGCTAAACTACATCAATAGAACAGGAACTGCTTTGATCATAAACTCAAACCTTATGTGAACTCTCTTAACAACCTAGTTTGAGAGAGATGGATTCTCTTTTTACTATATCATAAAACCCTTAACCATAAATCATAGGAGAGAGAAAAATCCCATAGTTTAAACTTTTAGCCCTTTTTTACAATGTGGGAGAGAGATCAAAGATGAGAGAGTGGGATGTGCCCCCTTTGGATTTTCATGAAAGAGAGAAACTTTTTTAGGAGAGATAGAAAGATTAGGTGTAGAAATTTTGGGTAAAGACAATCTTTTTTTTATAGGCTTTAAACAGTATTAGGGTTTTCATTGGCTTGCCTCTTCTTGTGAGATTAAATATGAATCATTGATTTTGGGTGACTTAGGGGATGAGATATTTGAGTCATCCATTCAATAGATGGGTCATCAACATCATGAAATGTGCAAGAACCTTTATCTCATCAATAGAAATTAAATAAAATAATTTCAAATATAATTTAATCATACCAAAATAATGCACAAGTCTCCTCATGCTTTCCAAAAATTCATTCAAAGCTTCCTCAAGCCAATACATTTTCAAAACACAGAGCAACTTGGCCTACAAGCCAAAATCACTTATCACAAAAATAGAAAGCTTCTAAATGGGTGGGGCGTGCCACCCATGAGAGGATCTCATGGGCCCCACCATCTAGGCCATAGTTGGCCCATGTGCACAATAGGCCCCTATGCAATTTTAAATTTTAAAACTCAATAAAACAATTTTAAATTTATTTTAATATTTAAATCAATGTAAAATCAATATCTCTAATTTTATAAATCTAAATTTGATAAATAAAATATCTAGAGATCTAGAAAATTTCAAATAATAATTCTAAAATCATATATACCATAAAAAAACATAATTAAAATCATTAGATGGGAAAAGGATCCATATGGTCTAGGAATCATTCAAATACTGGGGCACTTCACCTTCAAATGTGGACTACGGACCATACTTGTTTTATCAAACCAACTCAGTGTTTCCCATAACCCACAGTCAATGCAGGGGCTTATTAGTGGCTCACCAAAGTCTGGTCAATGAGCTAAGGGGTCACAATCCCAGTATGTAAATTTCAGGTTCTCCCTTAGAGACGGGCCAAGATCACCTAGACCTGATGCGACCACACCTCCTATGGCGTATAGGGGTATCTCTCGCACATGCATACTCTTTACCCTGAAAGGTGGCTAAACGGTTCATCAATATGCATGTCGTGTGATGGTACATGAATGAGGCTTTAGCCCCCGTCTTTGAAGGCCACAATCACACATAAGGGTCACACAATTCTTCGGCTCACTCATCCCGCCACACTCCAACCTAATCAAGGGATAATCTATAGAACCATTATTGGTTTATACTCTATACCCAGGCAACATGGGTTTTTTCCAACCGACTGGCCTGGACTGTCAAGCACAGCCTAATATCAGCAAACATAGTTTGCTTAGTAACTACACTCCCACTGAGTTCATGTTCCACTATATCATTTCATTTTACAAACACTTATAAGGCCTTTAATGGCCACACTCACTCAATATCTCCCACTTAGCCTTTGATGGCCTTACATTCTCTCTTCCTTACTTTTTCTCATCCCCATCTCTCTCTCCCAATTACAATCTCTCTCTCAAACATTTTTTCACTTATTCTCTCTCAATACATTAATCATGGTTTTCGTCATCAATCCTTTAACAAAAGGATTTATTGAGGCAACACTTTTTTTTCCTTTGCTGCACAAATATCATCCCAAAAGTGGTCGTAACCCATATTTCATATCGCATCATGAATCATGGACCTTTTGCCACAAAAAATCATCATGTACTCTCATCGCATGGGGTTATATGTTCATGGGCTCAAAAAACCTCTTCAAATAAGCTGATCTCCATTATAGCAATACAACCAAACCCACACATCTCATTCCTCAGGTGATAGAAACATGATTTTATACGCTTGGATTTCTTACAAAATCGTGCCTCTTATGACACACATATCGTCGTCGTATTGTCGTAGAAAATCCTTACTGCCTCACAATGCACGGGGTGAAAGTCAACGTGATTAATAAATTTATTAATCCTTACGATATCATTGTCCACCAAACAATTCGCCACATACTCTATCTCCATGGTGGACAATTCTACTACATCTAGTTTCTTTAATTTCCAAGTAACTGTACCCCCTCCAAGCATGAACACATATCTAAATGTGACTTCGCACTATCTGGATTTGTGAAATAGCTTGCACCTGTATATCTGAATATCCAAACAGCTAAAAAAAGCGTAGGACTGTAATTGCTCCCACTCAATCATTGCACACGCAACATATACATGCTTAACATTCTTATGCAATTAGTAATTCAATACCCGTTGGGTTCACAATATATAAAACCTTCATGAACCACAAAGGTTCAACCACACTAGTCATCTTGGTAGTAAATTCATACAAACCAAGTTATTTAATCAACATAACATGTGTCAAGGAAGCTTAGCATGATGGCATTCCTTCAACATTCCATATGGTTCAAGGTCTTAGGTAATCGATGATTCTAAATAACTAGAAACATTGGTCAAGGTATATGAATGTTATATATATATATATATATATATGCATTCACAAGCAATAGTCAGATAATAGTATGACAATTTAAAATGATTTTCATAAAAACTTAGTGGACCTTGGAAGACTATGTGGTTTTCTCAAAACCATATTCATAGATGTAGGTTTTTCTCAAATCATTCAATTTAATTGTAAAATACATGTTCAGCCTTCATAAATCATTTTACTGCATTCACCTTTTATTTCCTACCAAATCAAGTTCATGGCCACAAAAACAAATCATAAATATCATCTTATAATTTTATCCAAAATAAAGCATGACTAAATAATGTCTACTAAAGCATTGACAAAATATTTCATTTTTGATAAATATGGAGGTGTTATCAAGATATCATCATCACATGCAATACATCATATTATTGACAGTATTGGGAGAATGGTCACTACGACCGAGTTCTATCAAAACACTGCCTTTGTGTTTACATATTTGAATAAGCCACACCCATCTCTCGTGTTTCATCCTTAAGCCTCAAAGCCTTTGATCAAATCACATCTCCATGTGTATTACTACCTTAAGTAGTTCATTACTACCTTAAGTAGTTCATACTCTAGCACAAGGAGGCACTAATACACAGGGTATTAAAAAATCGGCTCTTTCAAATTTGTTAGCACCTATCACTTAATGTCCATACACTTCATACATATTCATAAAATAATTAGCCAAAATATAACCAAAGCATATTAAACATAATAAAAAGTTATTTAATCATCGTTCCCTATATATGTAATATGGGATAGATTTCATACCTCAAAACCATGTTGTGTGGTACCTTGGCTTTTTTTATTTATTGTTTTTACTTGTTTGACAAGCTTTTTGTGATCTTGGAAGAACACACAATTTATAGGTAATATATTGGTCATCGGTTTCGCATGTCACGATGTGTCAATCTCTTTAGCACTTGGATTATCTCTGTTTCACACTGTGAAGAAATTCTTTTCTTCATCACATCATTTCAAATATCACAATTTCGATTCTCCCACTAATATTTAGCGTTTCTATGCTACCACCAAGTCTCTCTATATATCATTTCATTTCAAAGAAACCAATATGCTTTTATAGGTATTGTGTTTTTTCTTCTTTCTGTTATTCTTAAATCGAATACTCTTCACATAGAATGTCATATCTTGTCAACTCTATATTATCTCTCTCTAAAGTTTTATTATAATAAACCATACTCATATCACACTATAAAACTTTTTAAATGAGCCTTAAAAAGGTTTTCACTATGAGGAATCCAAAGATATGTCATAACGTGCCACACCTTTTAATTTACTATAGAACCGAACATGAGCATCCCATGATAAAAACATGACATCTCTCAACTCATAAAGAGTTTATCTTCGAAGCTTTTTGAGTATAGAGTCAAAAATATAAAATAGTGCTCAGTTCCATCCTTAAATCACACCATTTAGTGAGTCTTCATTTTAGTGATATTTACGTCACAATGCAATTTTCTCAGTAAAAAATCATGTTAATCACATTTTAATAAAAAATTGCTTCCCTCAATCCTCAAATAATTTCTTCCTTAAATCTTTTGTGTTAAAAACTAGACTCAAAAGAAAATCATAACATCATTGTGTGAGTCCCAACTAATACTTTTCTTCAAAGAAATAAATCATATTGCAGAATTTCAGGATTAATACTATCTAGTAAAATTGTTTTTTCTCTCTACCCTCATAGATTTTCCCTTTCAAACCAATTTTGTTGGAAAGTAGACGCATAATAGTAACACATATATTTCCACAAGTCTCATATCACTACGTTAAGTAGGCTTGATAAATATAGTTATTCATATCTCAATGAATAATATACCAAATTGCAGAAAATTCAGGATAGCCTCTCTTTAATGCAAAATTTTTATTT